ATGGGGTGGAGTTAAAAACGATTCCTCCGTCACATGGAAAGGTGTGCCACATGAATCCTAAATATATCGATATTTTCAAGACTAAACAAGGCGGATCAGCCGTAAGAATCTTGTATGGCATACAGATCATCGTGGCCGTCTACTTATACTGGATTTTCTGAGTAGACGTAACGTAGGTGTAGCGTACCGATACATTAAAACCCGTTCGAATATTAAGACCTCTGTTTTCTGTGTGCCGTGCCCTGAGATGTATTTGAAGCCCGACTTCCCTCCCACACGCATTGACACCCCGGTATGTCGAGCTCGATCCTGCCGATCGACGGCATGCTGTCGGGCATCAAGGCGGACGACCGCGCAGTGATCGAGAACGTGCTGGCGGTGATGCAGGGGCTTTCCAGGGACCTGTGCTTCGTGGACTACGAGGTGCGGACGGCCAAGGACGGCTTTGTGATCCTGGCAAAGACGGCGAGCCCCATGGTGGGGCTGACGGACCTGCAGCTCATCCGCGACGCGAACCCGGTGCGGGTGCAGAACGTCGGCGTCGCCCCCGTGGAGGGGAAGCGGATCTCCGTGCACGTCAAGGTGCTGCAGTCCACCGCGCCCGTGACGATGACGGAGGTGGATGTGATCAGGGTCAAGAGGAAGAGGCATTGGGGGTTTTTCTGATAAACTTCAATTATTTACTTCCCTTCACACTGCATGCGTTTTTCATTTTTCTTTAATTCACTCTCGAAGATGCACCTGCGAGTGTTGAGGTAGGGACAGGGGCACAGCTCCCACGGCCTCAGCGCCCTGGGGAGCGGGCAGAAGGCACACTTCCGCGTGATGGGAATGATCTTGACCTTGAAGTACCTCCACGCCCTCATTTATTGTAGCCTTGGAACATCATTTGACATTCTCTGCGCCAAAACACTCGTTTTTTTTTACATCCCAAGCACCTCCTCCGCCATGGTGAATCCCATCTTCTCAAGCTCGGCGGGGCTCAGGCCACGCAGGCACATCTTGATGAGGTTCTCGACCTCGGTGATGCTCTTGCACTTGATCTGGAAGAAGGTCTTGAGGTGGGTCTCCATCGGGAGGATGAGCTGGAGCTGCGGCATGCGGGGCAGCAGGGTGATGTTGTGCATGGAGATCCCCATCCGCATCAGGTACAGCGTGCCGACCACGAGGGTGGAGGTCTTGAGCGCGCCGAGCGCGGAGCGGAAGCGCTGGCCCATGAGGTTCAGGAAGCGCACGATGCTGTACACGCAGCGCCCGACGACCTCCTGCCTCAGCTCGGGTTGGAAGCTGGTGTTGCACACTCGGATCTTGTTGGTGGCGTGCAGGATCTGCGTCATGACCTGGCAGAGGTTCGGTATGCCGCCCCGGAGCTTGATCTCCCGCAGCAGCTTCCAAAGGAGGTGCCGGTGCTTCTGCTCCATGCGGCCGCGCTCCTGCTCGAAGCTCTGCCGCGCCGTGCGGGAGGAAAGGAGCCACTCCACGTTCTCCCTGACCTCCCGCTCATCCGTCAGCAGCCGCATCTCCCGCTCCACTGGCCCTGGGAGGTCGGAGATGACCACGTTGTCCATAAACTCGTCGTGGGTGAAGCGCTTCAGCCGCACGCAGTTCCCCGTGATGGTGCAGACGTGGCTGTCCTCCTCCTCGAACACCGGGCAGGTCGCCGCGTCGCAGCGGTGGATCGCCCCGCACTCGGTGCACCCCGCCAGGTCGAAGTCGATGCACTGCCAGCGGCATTGGTGTCCCGCCAACCCCTTCGGAACCACGAAAGGGTCGCTTACCGCCCTCCAGCACCTCACCCTCGTGTCCCAGCAATCCGGGCACTTGCGGCAGGTGGTGCAGCCAGGCTTCCGCGCCTTGAGCTGCTTGCAGCGCTTGCAGACAAAGCATTGCTCGCAGGGCTTTGTCATAACCGTCCCCCGCTGACCATTCCTCTTTTCCAGGTCCTCCCATCCGAGCCCCAGTGACCAAAAAGAAGCTTCTTTTTTTTCTTATTTGGCGCGTTGCCATGCTACGGGGAGGGACTGAATTGGATGGACCGGATTCTGAAGAAATGACATCGGAGCTAGACCTGCATATCGCGCTCGACTACATGTGGGATTCGCGCATGTACATGATCAAGGTGATCAGCAAGGGCGATTTCAAGTACGGCGACATCGTCCTCCTGATCAAGGACAACAGCACGGAGCATATACACACCAGGTACCCGAGGGAGACCATCATGATTGTGCAGCACGAGGTGGAGAAATTCGTCGAGCAGCGCGACATGTTCCGAAACTTCATCCGTGATATGCAGGAGAGGAAGGCGAAGCTCGCACCCCTGTTCACCGCCCTGTACAACGTGGATCAGAATACATGGGAGCTTGTGCAGGACATAATACACAGGAAACAGAAAGTATTGGACAAGGAACAGATTGTAAGCCTTATCATGCACGACAAAGGGGACATGCTCCACGCCTACACGGACATGTACAACGTCATTTCACAGATCCGGATGAAGCTCGGTATGCCCTTCCTCCCCTACAAGCACCCCATCACCCCGGACTACCTCCTGTTCCATCCAATCCTCGAGTGAAGATGTAGCGTGATTTTTCTGAACGTTTATTGTGCTTTAGTACACACTACACTACACGCTTTCTACTTCGGGGTGAGCAGCTCGTTGATCTTGTTCTTGTGAAAAGCGATCTACCTCTTGCAGAACTCGATGAAGGCAACGTAGTGGAGATAGTCGTCTCCATGCATGGTGTGCAGATTCCTTTGTGCCTTGCCCAGTTCTTCTTTCAAGAACTTGATCCTCTGCTTGTTGTAATCAACCTCTCTGTCGATCTTGTCGTGATCGACCTGACGGTCGGTGAGTGCGGTAGTGCGTTGAGTCGGTGCGGAGAGCATTCTTCTTTGGAAAGACACTCATATCCACCCCATCGCTTTAAATACGTGCAATCTGCGTGTATCTTAGCAGTTCATGTGAGACAGGTTATTTTTGAACATTTATTGCAGTTTAGTCACTACGGCTACTGCCTCTCGCATGACACCTTAATCCTCGGTCTCGAACACATTGAGCTTGCGACGCTTGGTGTCGTGGCTCTTAACCACAAAGCGGATGGGGTTGCGTGACTCAAACACAGTGGAGTTGATGATTTCCTGCTGATTGGCAATGATCTTGGATGACATAATGCTGATGTACTCCTGACAAGACTCGAAAGACACCTCCTTCTTGGTATGATACTTGATACTGTAGAAACATGGGCATTTACTCCATGGCGTCTCGTCGCCGTTGTTCTTCTTGTCGATGAACTCCTGAACCTCCTCGATGCGCTCTAAGTAGACTTTATCATTTATCTCGAGAGTGGCCAGCTTTGCCTCCTTGCGAGTACGACCCCTGGAATCGAAGGGCCTGGAAACACGGGGCTCGGAAGCAAGGGTGGATATTAACGTCTCTACCATACGCATTATGGCATCATCGCGCTCGCGAGAAGCAATCAAAGTAGCGTATATTTTGTGATTAATATGCATTCCTCTTCAGTACGACAAACATACCCATCACAACTCGTTTAAATACAACCCGTCCCCTTCAGTCCGTGTGGCTCATGATGACGCCCTGTATCGCGAGCCGGACGAACTCGTTGACCACGAAGAAGGGGAAGGTGGCGATGACGCTGAAGGCGTACATGACGATGAAGAGTAGGATCACGATGGGTATGACCCTCCATACGTTGAGCGCGGCGCAGACGGACTGGGCGAGGATCATGTCCGCGTTTTCGCCCTCCACGATGGCGGCCTTGACGACGAGATCGCGGTGGAGAGAGGTCAGCTTGTTGAGGAGGGGCATGCTCGTCACCACGCCATCGACGGACCGACACAGGCCGGTAGAGGCGAAGCAAGTCCACCACGCCACCTCGGACTCCCAGGAGACGTACTCGAAGGGCTGGAGGGAGCAGGAGAGCAGGCAGTCCTCCCTGGCCGTGGCATTCGGGGCTGCGTCCAGACAGCCGGGGCTCTTCTGCAGACTGTCGGGGAAGCGGAGTGTGGCGGGGAAGAAGAAGTTGAGGACCTCGACGAAGTCCTGGAAGATGCAGGTGGGAACCATTGGGAGGCAGAGGGGCGACACTCCAAAGGCGTAGTAAATCACAACGAGGGGGTAGGAGGTCCAGAGGAATGTGGTCAGGTACGGGATGCGGAAGGAAGACGCCACGAGCGACACTCCAGACCACACCACGGCGATTACGAAGCCCGAGACGAGGAGCGTGTAGTGGTGGCGACTGCAGAGCATCACCGCCTGGCGGTCACAGCGGGCAAAATCCCTGAGCATGCCGGGTAAGGCACTGAAGAGGTCGTAGAAGAACTGCCGGTTGAAGGGGGTCTGGTCGATCCATTTCAATGCCTGGAACACCAGCATGTTCAGGAAGGTCTGACGGGTGGGCTCCTTCAAGGGAGGCACCGGACCGCGGTAGGGGAGGTTGCTGAAGGGCCAGCTGCCCGAGACGATGCTGCGGGGGGTTGCTTTAAGGGTGTGCCCGTTGGCGTAGTACAGCGATGTGTTGGTAAATGCATCGCGTGTCAACTCAAACGTCCTGGCGAGGAGCGGGCACTCGAAGATCGTCCCACCAAAGTCGAACTGGAGCGGCCAGGCAAACGGGCTGTCGACCCAGTCCGCCGCCGTCTCTCTTCCCACGGCCATCGGGACCCCGTCGTTCAAGGCGACAGTGCCCGTAAAGCGCTGGACCTCCTCCATGCGGGTCTTCCACGATGTAAACATGAGGAGATGCCTGCGTGAAAGTCTCTGCTGTATCCCTGTCCCGTTGTAGAGCAGCTCCGTGGCGAATGGCGAGGTGGCTGTCATAGACAGCAACTTTCGGACAGACTCCTGGTTGCGGATGGCAAGGGATACGTTACCAGGGTACAATGTATTCGAGCTCAGATTAAACCTGTGGAGCAGATTGAGGAGAATGAGTGTAAACTCGCTAATGTTGTGCCCATGGATGAACACGCCGCCCTCTGCGTCCACCTCATAGTGCAGCCCGCCGTTGGGCTGGATGCTGCGGTGCACCGTCACGTCGAGGTAAAGCTCCGTCAGCGCGGCCGTCCAGGCTCGGTAGTGCCTGACCAGGCGGTGGTACAGGGGGGTGCGGAGGAGGAGCTCGAAGGCGAGGCCAGGGGAGTACAGGAGGACCAGGAGGGAGTCCGGCCTGTCACCCACGGTGGTCAGGAAGTCCGCCCAGCTCACAAACATGTTCGGGGGGATGTAGTCCAGCAGCCCGTGCGCCGACACGACGTCGTAGGTCGCGGCAAACCGGGTGACACAACCGGCCATCACCCTCGTGCTGCGGTTGGTGGCGAGAAAGTCGTCCCAGGCGTCCATGCAGAGCTCGTCGTGGCTGAAAAAGTCAGGAGCGCCTTCGATGCCGAGCAAGCGCCTGCCGTAGGGGGACTGGGAGCCGGAACCGGAGAGCCCGCTGACACCCAGGGAGACGAGCATGGGAGCGTAGCTGAAGGCCGAGCTGTAGACGCTGTAGCAATAGATCCTGGAAGAATCCGCGTTGTAGCACGGCGTTGCAAGGAGGTTGTTGTAGCTAATTGTGTAGGTAGAGCTCGTCTCGGCGGTGAAGCCGCCCATGCTACCTGAAACCTGCGCCAGGCACAGCCCGGATAGCTTGTACTGAACATTCATCCCTACCTCACTCACAGAGCAAGACTCCGGTACCACCTTCGTCAAGAAGCAAGAGCAAGACCCGTAGGTCTGCCCAGGCTGGATCACACACATGGGCTGGCTGGTGCACTGACCACAGGGTATGTTCCCAAACGTCTGCTCCACGCGGCTATTCATGAACACGCAGGTAGCTCCCGCCTGGTTGATGCACTGCTCGTGCGTCATGCAGGGTGTCTGCGAGATCTGCTGGACATTGCAGGAGCACTGCTTGCGGATGGGGTCGCAGCCGAAACGGTTCGTGACGGTGACGTCGGCACCGAAGGGGCACGCATCGCACACTACCGTATCGGCATTGTCCGAGGTCAACCCCCTGGCGCAGGTGTCCGCACCAGAGCACGACAACTTCCCGGAATCGGCCACGCTGCTCAAGTAGCTGGCCCAGCAGCGCGTCGGGGTGGGGAGCGTCCCGTCCCCGGCGCTGGGCTGGTAGTTATCCCCGATGTTGCAGTCCAATACCTCTCGTGGGGTGCAGTCCATACCCACGAGCGTCTCACCGACCTTTAACGGGATCTGGTATGTGATCCACTCAAAAGGGCATATACCAAGGATGCATATCTCCGCAATTCCCTTAAGGATGTTAGCGATAAAGAGGGAGACATGACCCACACCCTGAAGAATGGGACACATGACAGGGAGCCAAAAGTACATGATGAACCAATTCAAGAGTGTGCAGATAATCCGGATGATGATCATTAGCTGCTCTCCGAAGGGTGTCGCCTGGATGATCCCGAAGAGCATGTTTCCCAGCTGGTCGAAGAGAACTTTGGCCTCATTGATGAACAGATCGAGCCACCGGAAGACGTCTGGCATCACCTGCTCGGAAGACTGTCCGGTGACCAGCCTGAGGAAATTTATCACGATCATTGCAACGTAATACGCCAGCTTCACGAGCGTCTGTACGACCTGGCGCAGCTGGGAGATGGTGGTCTGCACCGGGACGAGCATCTGGGCCGGGCACTTGCCCCTCATGACATTGTTCTGCGCGATGACCTCGGCCACCATCCCCGTGGTGTAGGACGCCGCGCAGACCCCGGCGGACACCGACTCGTAAAAGTCCAGGACCGTCTCCGTGATGAACTGCTGGTTCGAGATGCTGTAAGCCGCCGGGTTGTATAGGAACTTCTGGTCGCTGCACACCCCCGCTGCCTTGCAGTTGGCCGCCTGGATGCGCTGGATGAAGTCACCGATGCGGATGCAGAGGTCGTTCATCGTGGCATCGAGGGTGCAGATCCTCACAGGGATCATCGCCGCCCGGGTGGGGGTGCTGGACAGCATCGCGGACTTGCAGGAAGGGCTGCGCAGCGAGGGATGCATCCAGGTGTCCTTCGGTATGCTCCCGAAGCACTCCCGTCGGTACTGCCCGGTCGTCAGGTTGCGCTCCGTCTCCGTGCAGAAGGTCCAGTTGCGCCCCCAGAACATCGTGTCGTCCACCAGGCTGGGAGCAGGCGGGGTGATGCTCCCCGCAGCCCCTCCCGAGGTGAAGAGCCCGGCGATGTCACGGAGGTACTTCCCCATGAAGTTGTCGATCGTCCATTCGTTCGTGTTCGCCACGGAGTCCAGCAGGGAACACTGCGCCTGATTCCCGCATACCTGCTGCCGTATGTCCCGGGCCAGCATGCGGGCGAGGGACAGCCTGACGGGCACGCCGAAGCTCGTGAAGCGGCCGTCGGCGAGGTAGCTGACGCCATGGATGCTCCGATCAGCCCTGTTGACGAACTTCTCCGTCTTGGGGGGAGCCTGGCACTGCCCGCAGCGCCTGCGGAAGTTCCGTGACAGCTGTTCCAGGTACATGGTCGACCTAGGAACATCCAGGTGGTGGTAGCTAACCTCCGTCACTGCACCCTCTCCCCCGGAGATAGCCGTCACCGAGCACTCGAGGTGGGAGTAGTTGTAGCGGTGGCACTGCCCCCCGAGCGGGACGGTGGAAGGCACGCTGACCATCCTCCCCATGTGGCATTCCCCGCCTTCGTCCAGGGTGGTCCTCCCGGCATCCGCTGTGACTTGCACAGGGATGTAGCGCAGCTGGAACTCGCGCAGGCGGTCGTGGACGGGACAGTCCTGAGCAGAGGCGGTCAGGTAAGTCCCGTCCCTTAGCATGCCCCCCGAGTGCGGCCAGTCAGTAGAGGTCCGGCAGCCCGCCGCCCCGGCGTGCGCCTGCTGGGTGTACCACTTCTCCCCCGAGAGGAAATCAACCGTTGAAAGGATAGAACAGCTCTCCTTGGAAACGACCTGGAACGAACAGTCCCCCGCAGAGGAGCAGCTGCAGATCTCCGATGCAAAGTACGGCCTTTGCAGGCCGGGCATCTCCACCCCATAGGGCTGCACCGGATTCGACATCCCGTTTCCGGCACTCCCCCCCATGTTGCTCGCCTCGAAGAACATCACCCCTGCCCTCGGCCCGTATGGCGCCCTGGGCCGGAAGGAGGCGTCGCCCCCGCCCCAGAAGTGCATCTCCCGGACGGGGCAGTCCCACGGCGGCAGCTGGCCCTCCGCCACGGTGTTCCCGAGATCCACCCGGTTAAGGTCGTAGTCGACGCGGGAATCGACGGAGTAAGAGGAGAGCCAGTCCATGCTGTTGTTCGAGCACGGGTCCCTGCCCGCAAGGTCGGGGGAGCCGTCTGCCTTGGTGGGGTACCAGAGCGGCATGCAGGCCGGCAGCAGGTTGTCGGTCATCCCATCCTCCAGGGTCTGAAGGTCCGCGACGAAGAAACCACCCCCCAGATCCATGAAGGACTGCCTTAGAATGCCATTGGACGGAGTCCTGGAATGGTAGGAAGGGTTGGGCTCCATGCCGAAGATCCCCGAGTAGGGCATGGAATACAAAGGCCGAGTGTACAGATCGGTCATGCCCTCCCCCTCCCCGCCCCCGTACAGACCCTGCCTCTGCAGGCAGGTTGAGTTGGGGCGCGGCGCCTTCTCACACAGATTGTTGGAGGCGGAGGTGAAGATGTCCGTCCTGCTCGGGGGCTGATTGTTCTTGGAGACACAGGGGGTATAGACCAGGGCGGTGTAATTCCTGCAAGTCCCGGACCCCTGGGGGAAGCAGTCCGCGCTGATCACCCGGGTGAGCTGCTCCGGCAGCGGCACGGTGTCGCAGGCCTCGTGGATATTGAACCCGCCGCCCAGCCAGGGGTTGATGGTGAACACATTCCCGTCCCCGGTCAGGTAGCACACCGCCTCGGACTGGCGCGTCTCCGAGCAACGGCCGGCGCTCGTCACCCAGTCGACGAAACGGTCCCTCTCCGGGCGCGATGCCGCCGCCCAATGAAGCAGATGCGAAGAGGTGAGCTCCTCTCCCCTCAGCTTCACAAGCACAGCGTAGCCCGGATTGGCAACCAAGGAAGACCTCCGCTTCAGCTCCGAGGCGCACTGCTCCAGGCTGCTGCGATGGACGCGCTGCCCCGTGATCTGGTCCTTCGAGCACTCGGTGACGTCGACCGCCTGGTTGATGCAGGTGTCCAGCGGCTGCTTCCGCATCGTGTCGGCCTGCTCGACGTAATTCACGTAATCGTACAGGGTGAGGGCCTGGAAGGGGTAGAGCGAGTGGCGGTCCATGAAGGAGGCACTCAGCGCGCTGGGCTTCATCCAGACGCTGTTGTAGATGGAGCCAGGGAGCGCGTTACCCGAGCCAAAGATCTGCTTCCTCATCAGGTGGTGCACCAGCCGGAAGCTGTCCTTCTGCGAATAGCCGTCCCGGGCGTTGCTCGTATCGCTCAGCCCGATTGCGCTCCTGTCCGAGGGGGTGAAGCCCAGCACGTCCTCCCTGAGTCCGCGGTACTTGATGGAGTGCTTCCCGACGTACTTCAGGAGCGTCTTCCTCACGCAGTCGGCCTTGCAGTACCAGAGGTTGTTCCTGATCTCCACCAGGACGCTGTCGTTCGTCCTCCGCGCCGGGCACCGCTCCCTCGCCTGCGCCTCGCTGGACGCGCAGAAGTACACGGAGGGCTCGGTCAGGCGCAGGGACATGGCATGGACGGCCATGTTATCCATCCGGACGTTGCACTGGCCGTCGCTGCCGCAATCGAACGAAACCCCGGTGCTGGTGGTGCACGAGGAGACGTTGCAGCGGACGGAGAAGCTCACCGGGCGGGTGCTGCTGCTATTCCAGATCGCCTCTAGGTCCAGGACCTGTAGGTTGGGGCTCGAGCCCTCCGCATTCTCTCTAGCAAGCAGAATCTCCCTTGCCTGCTCCACGCGCGCCCTATCCCAGCCCGTCCAGGCCTGGAGGTTGCTCTTGTTCACCCCCGGGACACCGTAGCAGTCCACCCACGCTGGGTACCAGCGGGTGGAAGCCTTCTGGTACAGCGGCCCGTAGAACTTGTCGGAGTTGGGGTCACCGCTCTGCATCTCGCGGTAGAATGTCTGCACCTCCACACCCAAGGTGGGAACGACGGACACCACTCCTACCGAACTCCCCTCCAACCCACCGCCCTGCAAGCACGTGGAATCCGTGCGGAGGCAGATGGCCCCCGCGGGGTTTGCCGTGTCAAGGTCGAGGCGGGAGAGGTCCGCGATCTTACGCTTGTCGTCTTCCACCAGATCCCGCACAAAGAGGGGTTGCTTGCAATGCGTCTGCACCACGATGCCCTCCCCGTTGTTGTACTCGCGGAGATAGACGAATCGAGTGGAGCAATTGTCATCTAACGAGTCATGCATCAGCCCACAGCTCTGCCCGGTGCGCCTGTCGTAGCCCACATCGCTGTCACAGACATATATGTCCTCACCCCCGGCGTTCTGATCCAGCAGCCTCACGAATGGCCTGATGAAGTTCTGATTCACCCCGGGCTCGGAGGTATTGAAGTTGACATTGAGGCACTTGGTCATGCGCATAGTCCCTGTGGAAAGGTCGGCAAGGGTGGCATAGTCCTTGAAGGCATCGTACTCATACTCGAGCCCGATATCTTTCCAATCTTGCAGGTCATCCTCCTGCTTCAGCACTCCCGCAAGGATCCTGTCCAACTCCGCCTCGAAGAACGAAGGCGCCAGGGTCGGCAGGGTGTACTGCAGCACGCCCAGGGATGGGTCGAAGTACGCAGGGCCGAGATCGAGGAAGCCGTCCGAGAGCGACGTCTTCGTGAACGATCCCATCGCCTTGGACAGGCGGTTCACACCCGACCCGGGGGGGAAGTAGCCATCCCTGACACTCCCGCTCATCATGTAGTTCACCACCTGCTGGAATATGCCGGGGATGTCGGAATCGTCGTAGAAGGGGTATGTCCCGTCATCCCGGGGTACGGCATTGGTCTTGAACACCTTATCGTTGTTGCTGTTGCCACCACTGTCGACCGCATTCGCGAATTCATTGTAGTCCTCGTCGGTGAGATACAGGTCCTTCAAGGTGCGATAATACACATAGGAAAGCCGATGCTCCCCTCCCCCCATGGCGCCCTGCACGGTGTGCCTTGCCAGGGACACCTGCTCGAAGAGGTTGTCGTAGATGCTCAGCGCGATCTGCGTCTCATTGGTAGGCGAGTTCATCCCGGATTCCAGGTACACCCTCGGGGAGCTAAGGAGGAAGTCACGCACCGTCTGCGGCTGGTACCCCGCGGTCTTGGCGTTCTCCCACCCGCGGCACGGCACCTGGTCGGTGGATGCACTTTCAAGGAGCTCCACGTTCACGGAAGAGTCCAGCAGCACGCACTGCACCCACCACGCCGCCGGGATCTCCATCTGGGAAGCGTCGCGGAAGACGTACAGCGAAGCATAGGGAGGAAAATAGGTAGGTACCCCCGGCTCGAGCTCGACGGAGTACCACTGCGTGCCGCCCGTGCCCTGCGTCTGCTGCCCCGCGTACACCCCCATCAGGTTGAACACCGTCGCCGCGCAGGTCGCCCGCCTCTGGTACTCGTCCCAGGTCGTGAAACCGCGCTTGAAGAAGCGGAGAAGCGCCCGGTTGAGCGCGCGGTCGATGTTGGGCAGCGACTGGTAGTTGTAGTCCTCGTCCCAGAGTCTGCAGAGCTCCTGGACGTTGGACACGGTGGCATAGCTCGGGTCGAGGTCACAGGCACTCGATATGGACGCCCTATCGGCGGTGCAGAACATCCTCACCAGGGGAGTGACCAGGGGGTCCACCCTGCATATCGGGTCGTACCTCCTCGCCACGTCCGAAGGGTCCAGGGCCTTCAGATATCCCGCAGCACCGCAGAATAGGCCGTCCTGCAGTTGGTAGGGGGTCGCCAGGCAATTCCCGGAATCGATGCAGCTCCCATCCTTCTGCACCCGGTTGATCTTGCGCCCGAGCGTATGGTAGCCCTGTACATAGAACTCCTGAAGAGAACAGAGCTGAAGATTCGAGCAGAGGCTGAGCGAGTTCTGGACGCCCGCGAAGCTGTCCTCCCCGGCCACACCGGAGAAAGGGTACAGGAAACCCGTCCTCTGCCTTTCCATGTGGTCTACAGAGCAGAGGTCCAACTCCCAGCCCGCGGCAGCCCTCCGGTACGTCCGCATGGTCCTGCCCTCCCCGGGTTGATCCACAGCTCCCCCAACCTCGTTGAAGACGGAGGAAGGGTTTCCAGCGCAGGAAGGGAAGGAATAAGCATAGTCCCTGTCGCAGGTGTGAGGGTGTACCTTCAGGATACCCCTCTCGAACAGACCCTGCTTCACCACCGCGTCCGTCACATAGGGGCTTGTGCTGTACCAGAGCACATCCGGGTTCACCGCCGCCAGCGTGCCGGGGCTCGCCGCCCCCGTCGCCCTCGCCCGCATCGTCTCGTACTCGAACCACTCTCGGAACCCGCACATGCCGTGGCGCGGGAGGAAGTCCGGGACGACCTGCCAGGGGGAGTACCCGAGCGATTCTTCACCGCACTTCTCCGAGTGGGAGTGCATCTCCACAGGGTAGCCCACCTTGTTCCGCATCAGGACATAGCCATCCACGCACCTGCCCCATGCGGAGCAGACCTGCCCGGAGTCCCTGCAATGATGGTTCTGGTAGCACTGCAGCGGCGCCGAGCCCTGCACGGCGCAAACCCCGTCCCTCTCCTCCCCGCGGGACTCGGACCACGACCTCAGGCAGCGCACGGCCGCGCCGTGCAGGGCAGGGCAGTCTGTGTCGTTGCGACAAGTCCTGAGTGGTAGCTGCCCGCAGCCAGGACCCCACTCCGGCACCGTCCCCTCCGGGAGCTCGTACCTTCCAAACGTTTGTCCACTCGCAGGCCAAACCGCCGTCGCCGTCGCCCCCGTTGCCATCTCCGGGATCCAGTGGTGCAGAAGGCCCGATGACGGGCGGGTGTGCTTCCCAATCCTCCCTTGCGTCGGGACCTGGTCCCAGCCACCGGCAACCCCCGTCTGAATGTAATCCGTAGTATCTCCCGGGACGAAGCGCCCGATGGGCTGGGTAGGGTCGTACCTCTGCCCGTCCTTCCAGCGGGCCTGCAGCCTGGCGTTGTTTGTCTCGAACATGGGCATGCCGTAAGAGGCGGCGGAGCAGGAGGCGGCGGAACCGAAGTAGTTCTTCAGCAGCGTCTCGTTCCTCAGCCTCCTCGCATCCAGCTGAAGGTACTTCTCTCCCCTCACGGAGTCGTACTCCACAGACATCCAGGTGTCGAAGCCACGGAAGGCCGTCTCCTCGTGCCGGCACCCCACCGTGACGTGGTAGCCGCTCGGGTGGATCCACCCCTCCGGCCAGTAGTCCGCCACCGCGTCGCAGTATTCCCGGTTGCCCAGAGGCTTGCCGAAGGCGACACCTTCTCCCGCCTTGCTGCCAGTGATCAGAGCATCTTCCATCAACGACTTGTCGGATGCTTTGGGGATGAACGTGGTGATATACTGCTCCTCGTGCGCCAGTATCCTCTCCGCAAGAGCCAGATTCTCCTCTGGGCTCAATCCCGATGCCAGCAGCTCCTCCTCCGGGAACACGGTTGGGGCGTACAGCGTCGAGCGCTCAATATCCATGTCGGAAATGCCACGCGGGTCGAAGGCAAGGGGGCAGGTAGCATTCAGAGAAACGTCCCACGCATAACCAGAGCACGGAACCCCGGCGGCCTCCGCACAGGAGCAGGGCTCGGAGAAAACGCCATCGCAGTACACAATGCAGTCGGATGTCAGGTACATCTTCCCGCAAGTCCCGGTGATCGTAAAGGGGCAGTGGCTCCCTTGAATGCTATGATTGGGAGGGACCCGGTCAAAGACACCGTGCAGGTTGCACAGCCCAACCATCCGGACCTGCGTCATGCAGCGCGTGCGCCAGAGGTCCACCGCAACCCTCTGAACCGAGATCTCCGGGTTGGGCTCCTGTGCCCCGACGGCCTGGTCAACGTACACCAGTGCCTCCAACCTCGCCAGCTCCAGCACGAAGCGGGTGCAGAAGGCCTCCGAGCCGGAGGTGTGCGTCGACCTGAGGACGGGCATCAGTCGGTCCTTGAAGTGGCTGTAGACGCTGGACAGGCTCCCGACGTAGGACTGGAAGCCATTCGCAGCGTTGGAATCGATGGTTTCGTCCACGCAGTCCTCCAGCGCAACGGAGATATCGGTGTCTGGGTTGTAAAGCTTGTACCTCCTCGCGGCCGGGCGGAGGAAGAGATGCGAGTTGCGCTGCAGCCACTCCATGTTCGAGAGGCGGAGTCCCGCCGTGCCGAGGTGGAGGACATCCTGGAGGTTATAGTTGTAGTCCACAAAGCTATCATCGATATTCGCCATCCAGTAGTCCAACTGAAGGTCATTCACCACGCCCCACACATCCGACAGCTGCATATCTGGGCAGCTCCAGGAAGCGTCCCACGCCGCCTCGGCCACCCTGTACACGCTCACCCACTCCCCGAACGTGGAATAGCTCCCAGCCTGGCAGATCGCCTGGAAATCCTCCACCGCACCCCCCGGGAGGGAGGTCAGGCTCGCCAACCTCGCCGTCGCGCAGACCAACGGATCAACTCTACAGAGCATCCCATTTGGGGTAGTCCAACCGCAATAGCAGCGCTGGGTGAAGCCAGAGGCGTTCTGGCCCAGCACGCCGTACTTTGGGAGCTGAAGACCCGCCAGCCTCCCCGCCACGGTGTACCTGACCCCGACTCCCGTGTCATCGATCCCCAGAGGAATATAGGCACCGTCCAGCGGGTTCAAAGTACCATTGGTCACAGGCCTCACCAAACTCCCGCGTGTCCTGCACCTTGCGCTCTTGGATGGCATATATCTCAGGTCGCCACCCCCTGTCCCCCAGTAAAAGGGGGAGTCTTCCTTGGCCCTCCCAAGGATGTAGCTGACGGTCTCCTCGATGCTGTCTGCGAAGCGGGAGGAGGAAGGGCTCCGGGTAGGGTCGTGCTCATATGCGTAGGAGGAGGCACCGAAGGAAGCCCTTTCCGCATCGAGAGGCAGCGTCGCGAAGATCTGGGAGACGAGGTCCACGCACAGATCCCACAGGGAGCGGTTCTTGCTGCCTGCTTCCAGGACCTCGCTCTCGTCATACCCCGAGACAGGGCTGGAAGGGTCGAACATCGACTCATCGCGGAGCTGGGCGCGCTGGGAGTCAGTGAGGGGCTCGGCGAAGGCTTCAAAGAGAGTGCGGTTGAAGTAGACCTCCGTCTCGATGTACTCTGCCGCGAGATCGAAGATAACATCCAGCACGCTCTGGCTCTCAAGGACGGAGTAGTCGATCGCCTGCATCTCCTTGGAGGCCCAGACACCCGGGTTGTCCTTGGAGCAACACTCCACGCTGTTGGCCCCGCCCGGACAGGGGCAGCCGAAGCTGTTGACGTTGGTGAAGATGCTCTTGAACTCCCTTAGCTTGGCCTTGACACCGTCCTGCACCGCCCTGGCCAGCACCTCGTTTGTTGGCCCCCCGGGGCTGTTCTTGAGCTTCTCGATGAAGCCATGGATGATGGCGTTCCTCGCAGGGCCACCGCACGAGAAGGGGGACTGCTGGGGACAGCAGGCGTCCACGCCGGGCTTGCAGTTCGCGGATGGGACCATAAAGGTGCGATCAGAAGGGCTGTTCCGGTAGTACAGCATGGACCTGACCGAGCGCGTGCCCCCCGACGGCCACAGCTCGGCAGAGGCGAAGGGTCCCATGAAGTAGCAGTCGAAGAGCTGGTGCAATATGTCCCCCTCCACGGAGAAGAAGCTCGCCTCCAGCTCCGGATTCTCCCACTGCAAGAGTGCCTCCGTGAAGTACTCCGTGGCCTCCTTCTTGATCTTCAGGTGCTCCTCCCTCGCGGCATCGTACAGCTGGGTCGAACCCGGCGGGTAGCTCACCGAATGGAGCGAAGCCACCGGCACGCGGTTGGTCGTCCTCCCCGACCAGATGTACTGCGGGAGCTGGCACTGCGCCGCGTTCGAGGTGTTCAGGCACTGCTCGAACTGGTACGCCTTGGCTGGGTCCGGGTTGCTGGAGGGCCCGGTGAAGACCTCGCACCCGTCCACATCCGCGAAATCGGAATTGTCCGACACGAAGCCGGCCACCTCGTAACGGAAGTAGTTCTCGCGGGTGCGGTTCGTGAGCGTCAGCCACCCTAGCAGGCACGCGTCATTCCCAGTCCCGAGCCGGAGCGTTTGCTCCAGGCACGTAACCACGGAGGAAGGGATCAGGGAGGGCTGGTAGCTCTGCTGTATGATGTACCCCACCTTGGCTAGGTCGGGGTAGTTTCGAAACCCCGTGAGGTAGGCCGCCCCCGCGTCCCACACCTTGTTCACATAGTTGGAACGGCACCTGGTGAGCACAGTCCCGGGATCCACGTCCTGCCTTGCGAGCAGAGGGAGGGTGGGGAGATGCCGGCTGCAATCCCCCTGCCCCCTCCCTACGCAGGTGAGATAGGTGCTCATCTTTGTCCTCGAGGCCGTCACCAGCTCCTCGAAGGTGTAAGGGTTGTAGACGAGCCTCGGCTTCCCGTCCGGCCCCAGCAGCTGCAGCGACCCGACGCACCAGAAGGCCTGCTCCCGGATGCCCTCCTGGCGCCGCTCGGGGGACACCCTGTGGGCAAGGTCCCCGCAGGCGCAGCGGTAGATGGTCTCCGTGGTGACATCGGGGAGCCTGCAGTGCTTCTGGTCGATGGTCTGCAGGACATCCATGAAGCCGTACGTGACACCCGAGGCATAGGCCAGCACAGCATCCGTCAAGTGGTAGGCGGGGGCAAGCTGCAGCGTCATCCCGGCGTCGATCAGGCGGTCGGTCACCTGCGCCGCCGCCCCCCCAATGAAGTCGGATCCACCCAGCGCTTGGGCCTGCACGTCCTGCTCAAACACCTGCGTGAGGCAGATGCCCGCCACGTCCCCACTCACGGCCTGGATGCTCGGGTCTCCAATCACCAACTGGAAATTGCCCAGGAGGTCCGAATTCAGGATCGCCGTCATGCTGTTGGTCGTGCAGACAAAGGTCTTCTGCGCGGCGATGAAAACGTACAGAGGGAGGAGGAGGATCTGAGAGAATAGGTTTGTCATGCTGGCCATGGAGAGTGTCGCCTTGGCGTTGAAACTTGGGTCTGTAGGGACAAGGCCGACCTCGGTAGAACTGAGGATCGCCTGGGCTTTCATGGTGATCCCGTTCACTAGGGACATCAAAACCCCCACGGAAGAGACGGTGATGTCCTTCATGTCGCACATGGCGGAGAAGAACACCTGGTCCGGCCACTCGATCACCACGCGGTTGGTGATCTGCCCGGTAGAGGCATCGACAATGAGCGCCACGCTCTGCGAGAAGATGAGGTAGACGTTCTGCATCGTCAGCAGTGCCTGCCGCATCAGCTTCGACACCACCGACCCGATGGCACAGAGCGGGCGCTGGAAGTTGACCTCTGTGCCGATGCACCTGGCAACCGCACACTGCGACGCGGCGTAGCAGAGCCTCTGCAGTGTCGGGTAGCCCATGCATCCCGTGCAGTCGGCCACACTGCAGTTCTTCTTCAGAGTCGTCAGCATCTGGTATGTGCTGGAATATGACCGCGTCCCGGCCCACACCCCGCCATCCACCCTCAAGCGGATGTCCGAGAGCCAGGTCGTGGTGACCTTCTGCCCGGCCACGGCAAAGACCGTCATGGAGCTCTGCTGCCCCGCCCCGTTCCAGCCCGTCAGGGAGCTCTGCGCCACGCGCGGCACCCTCCGGATGAACCGCTTGTCCTGTGTCATGGATACTTGCGGCAGATTCTTAGAGCTCAGCCCCAGGTCGGACGCCAGGTGGCCACCGCTCGGCACGGCCACGCAGGTCAGCGCCCCCTCGCTCCGGTCGCACACCTTCACCTCCGCCCCATCCTCCGTCGGGAACAGCGCCACGCCGGAGCAGGAAGGGCCCAGGCACGTCACGTACGGGGTCCTGATCGTGGAGAACACATTCACGGCGCCGGCGCATCTCTTGATCGTGAAAGCGGAGGTCTTCAGGATCGCCTCCGTCGCGAAGCGCTGGGTGTCGAGCCTGACATGCAGGCACACCGGGCCCGTCGATGGCTCGTGCGGGACGCTCCAGTCCGTCGTCGTCGCCCTCACGAAGATGTCAGCGATGTCGTCACTCGGGAAGGACACCACCTCCTCGATGCTGTATATGTCCGTGACAAGCACCGCTTTCTGGGAAGAAGGGATGGTCTTCAGCAGGGTGTAGCTCTGTCTCTGGTCACTGACAAGGCTCACCTCCTGCTCCGTCGTCACGACCAGGATGTTGCTCCTGCCAATCGAGTCGACGAGGTCCACGCTCGCGTACTGCAGCCTCGCGATGCCCGCCGACCACGCCTCGCTGCCGTCCACCTCATAGTCGATCGCCGTGCCCCGGAAGGAGCCGTCCAGGATCTTGGCGGACGGGCGGATCCCGGTCTTCAGGCTGGAGGGGAGGCAGTAGGCCTTGACCGCAATCTTCAAGTGACTATCGATCCCCGCGATCGAGACACAGCGGTCCGGCTGCGAGGGGGGGCCAGAAATCCCCACGTCCCCGTAGCAAACGCGGTTGCAGCCCGACATCTCCACCAGGGCCATGACATCGAAGGGCAGCCGGTCCGTGCCGTAGAACTCACCCCCCGAGCTGAAGAAGCGGCTCTCGACCGAGACGGTCTGATTCATGCTGTACACGAGCGGCTTGCCCCCCGCCACCTGCGCCAGCGCCGTGTGGAAGGCGTCGTACTGCTCCCCGCAGGCCAGCTCGCACAGCCTCGTCCGGTAGCACATCGTGAAGTAGTCGATCGGCTCGGGGAGGATCGCCATGACGTAGTCCGAGGAGTAATAATTGCTGCAGGTCCCACTCGAAGAATCGATGAATACAAGGAAGTAGTCAAACATGGAACCGATGCTTTGGTATCCTTCGTACAGCGCCGTGAAGACCCCATCAAAGGCCGTTGACAAGTTCCCGTTCGTCCTCTCCACCAGCATACTACACATGAGCCGCCGATCTCCCGCCGACTGCTCCAGCATCGCATTAAGAAGCGGGCGGTAGCCCACGGGCGCCCACTTGTAGCACTGCTGCTCGAGGTGGTCGCGGAACACCGTCCCCTGCCCGCCGCGGCACACGCAGTCGACAACAGGGAAATCAATCAGGAACACGTTCATAAAGTCAAAGAGCCCCAGCGCCGTCTCCGCCCCGACCGTGCAGAAGAAACGCATCGCCGTCGCGGGGGGGTTCGTGTACCCGAAGATGAGGCTCACCCCGCCGCAGATCTCCCTGGCAGGCTGAACCATGAGCTGGTCGACGTCGTCCCTCATCGCCGTCAGGATGTAGAAGATCCCAGAGTCCACCCCCTGCCCGGAGGCCAGCTTGAGCACATACTCCATGATCAGCCGCTCCAGGAAGCGAAGGAACATCTGAAAGCTCGTCGAGGAGAACCGGACCACGCGCCCAAAAATCCGGATCCAGGAGGGCAGCCCGAACAACATCGCGCGGGACATATCCGCAAATGGACGGTTAAAATTCACAGATCCTAGCAATTTCGCCATGAAGGCAGGCGCACCGTTGGTCAGGTAGGTTGCCGCGACGGTGGAGCCTACGACGGCCTGCCTGGTGTACAGGAGGATGGGATTCGAGGGGCTCAGGCTCTGACCAAAGGTGGCGATTTTCACGAAGGAGTGATAGAACAGGAACGACGCACGGTGCCAAGCCTCGAAGGCATTGTCGACGTTCAGGATCCCCTTCCCGCACCCCAACAGCAAAGAATGCCCCAGAGCCACCGCTGAGCACTCGGTGAAGCGCGGCCAGTCCCCACCGCTGAAGATAGCAGGGAAGAGCACCACCGCGTTGAGCGGCAGCCGCATGAAGTACAACACACCGGCCCAGGCCTCCGCCAGGCTCGAGCCGACCTCGGGCATGCGGCGCTGGCTAGGGCACAGCAGGCCCTCGCTCAGGAGAGACTGCGGGACGAGCTCACTGAACATGCTCTCGGAAGGCCCTTCGTTGGTCGTGGGGTTAATGAAGTAGACCACGTAATCAAAGCCATCGAATCCGGGGCGCGGCATCCTCGTCACAACATCGAAGCTCTGCATAGAGGCCTGCAGGACCGTGACGGCGACGTTGTATTCATTGATGTACTCCAGCCTGACCACCGACATGTTGTACAGAGCCCCGCAGTTGCTCACCTCCTGCACCCGGTTGAAGCCCTCGAAGGTCCAGGTCATCACCGCCGCCCCCGACGTCTCAGACTGGTCCAGCGCGAAGGCGTTGAACTTCCACACCCTCACCTGCCCGTAGCTGGAGTCCATCACGATGCCGAACTTCGTGGGGAGGCCCGCGCAGTACCGCGAATACGCCTCGTACACCTCCGGGTTCGGGTTCGTCGCGTAGAACACCGCCCACTGGCTCGTTGTGGAGGGGTTGTACAGCTGCGGGTAGTCCTGGTACGCGTACGGTATCCCAATAAGACTGGGCTGGAACGGCTCTTCACAGGACGGAGAGCCCAGGCAGATGTCGTTCGCGGGGATCAACCCGGGGAGATCCACCAGCCTGAAGGACAGCGCATCCTCCCCGAAGATCCTAGAGACCTTGACGCTCCACTTCCCCAGACCGTCCTGGTACGCCGTGAGCACCACATCGCTCGCAAAGACGAAGGGCTGGAACTTCTCCCGGATCGTCGGCTCGCTCTGGTCGGGAGGGAAGGCATACACCGTAGTAAGGTTCACAGAAACCCTTGAATTAACATCCGCGCTGGAGACACAGCTCTGCGTCGCCGGGTCCCAGGCGCTCTGCGCCGCCGCGTTGTACACCACGCCCTTTGGGACGGTGTACCGGACAGGAGGGCCGAATGCAAGCGGGGAAAGGCTCAGAGCAGAAGGGGATATCGACCCGACGGCGCCCTGCCCCACCCCGCAGTCCCGGAGGAGGTACTGCACCGAGTCCCTCCAGTCGTTGGCCCCGTACAGCACAATCCCCTGGTTGATCGTCCCCGTGAGGTGCAGGCCCACACAGAAGGGGTAGCAGCTGAACCCTTCAAAGCCGGGTATGCAAGAAGGGTCGGGGACCGCCGAGAAGGGGCACTGCGGCATGACGTAGATGGCAGCGTCCGCCCTCACCTCCCTGGCCACATCCAGGATATTCACCTGGGCCGCGGCACCCATCTGGTTCCAAGCACCGGGGCTGGTGCTCGTTGCAGACACCCTCGTCGCGGGCCACCGGAGCGACTCCACCTGGATCTTCAGCCTCTTGCAGGTCGCGTACTGGCTCGACGAGGGCACGGAGAAGGTCACCGGGATGCGCTGCGTCGCGTTGCTCGAGTTGACCGCCTGCTGTATGCTGTTCGATTTGAGGTAGTCCTGGATCATCGAAGCCACGGAACCCGTGGTGGAGGGCATGTTGCTCCCGGAGAGGTACGGGACGATCGCACAGGTGATCTGCGCCCCTACGCCGGGGACGTCCAGGCACTCGCACCCCAGCATCCCAGTCGTCAGGTCTCCCGCCACGTCCCCCTCGGGCAGCTCCCCGTACTTGACCGCCGCGATGCCGTACGCCGGTTCGACAGGAAAGGGCCAGTTCCTGTAAGCAATCTCCCTTGTCACTTGCTTGTAGAAGATGTTGTACTCCGTGCTGATCCCATCCGTCACCGCGTACATCCCCGGAGTCAGCCCCACCACCGCGCGGAAGTTGCCCCCGAAAAGCGCCCGGGAGTCATCGTCGCTGTAGCTCAGGGGGATCGGGACCGGGTCGCACTGCGGTGCGGAGCCGGTGAAGAGCGTCTCCAGGATCACCAGCGAAGAGTCCAACCAGTTGTCGACGGTCCTACCCAGGTACCTAGCCCCAGCTACCGAAAGGTCCATCGCCGGGCGGAAGTCCGGGGCGCACAGGATGCGCTGGTGCACGCCGAGCATCGGCAGCGTCGCACCGAACCGGCAGCGGTGCAGGGTCACGAAGGGGAGCTGCACGAACAGACCCAAAAGCGCGTTCACGATACAATGGATGCCCTTGTACAGGTTCATATCGCTCAGCGGGAATGTTAGTAAATCAATGACCGCATTCGCAGCGGGGCAGGAGAACACCACGAACCTTGCCATGTAGAGACACATATCGCGGAAGCTGCCCGCAGGAGTTATAAGGTCGAGGTTGATCATGCCGGGCTCGAAGCACTCCACCGAACCCGTCGCGTTCAGGATCAGGAAGCTCCCGGTGCCACCCCTGGGCACCCCGCCGAGGGGGTTCGTCGCGCACGCCATCACATTGACAAGGTACGACGAGATCGACAGGACCACCTCACCCGAGAACTTGAAGAAAGACGTGCCGAACCTAGGGAGCCACCCGACATTCACGTTGTCCGCAAGGAAGGACGGGGCCAGCACTGACAGGAACACCCCATTCACGATCCACATGATGCAGTTATACAGCGCGGTGACATGGCTAAACAGCAGCTCCACTAACTGAACCGGTAGGACGATGAAGAAGTGAATGTAGGTCCCCAGCCCGGCGTTGTAAACGTACACATACTCGGCAACCAACCCGGGAGCAAAGTCCAGCACCATGCTGAGCACTGCCATGACCAGCACCAGGAACCCAAACCAGAGAAGGTTCCGCGCGATGAAGCCCAGCGTCATCGCCAGGACGTTGAATGCGAAGAAAAAGTAGGCGAAGAGGTTCTGGAAGAACGTGCCCACGAGAGACATGGAGGCATACCTCTTGGTAGGGCGCATCGAGCGGTCCACCACCAGCGACAGCACAGAGTGAACCACCCGCTCTACCACCAGCACGAGGACCAACCCCGCCACGAACAAAAGAATATACATGCCGCACCCAACGCGCAGCCCCCAATCGCCCAAACCCACCACATAAGTCCTAAATACAATGCCCGCGCCGTTCACCACGGGACAGGCTTCAACAAGACCACGAGGGGATATTGTTTCGTACTTTAATTCACTACGCAAGTGGGAGCGGGAGGGAAAGAAGGGTTTGCCTACTCTTCTACGCATGCTCAACTCAATTCCTCCCATTCTCCATCATCATCACTGGAGAGCTTGTCGTAGGCAGTCTTGGTAAAGGCAAGATCATTGGCGTTTAAATTGGTATTCTTCACGCTGGCCTTGACACTCTTCGCGCTGGCCTTGAAAGGATCCTTGAAAGTATCAAATTTGTCCTTGAAAGGATCCTTGAAAGGATCAAAATTGTCCTTGAAAGGATCCTTGAAAGTATCAAATTTGTCCTTGAAAGGATCGGTAGATGTCTTTTTGATAAATTGACGCACGGCATCCAATGCTTTATCCAAGTCGCCTGTCTCTTGGCTTTCGGATATGATCTCAGCCAGCGACTGCTTGCGTTCGTACATCTTCTGCTTTTTAGGACCCATGATAGAATCAGTACCATGCAGGCCCAACCGCGCGCTTATATAGGCAGGTTTCACCCTGCCGCGACCCGGGGATACTAGGGGATATCGTTTCGTACTTTAATTCCTTACGCAAGTGAGAGCGGGAGAGGGAAAAGAAGGGTTTGCCTACTCTTCTACGCATGCTCAACTCAATTCCTCCCATTCTTCATCGTCGGATACTTCCTCCATTTCCCCCCAGTCCTCTTCTTCCTCGCTGAGGGGCTTGGAATCCTCCGTGTTGATCTTGGTTCCCTTCTCTTCACGGGCATCGGACTCATCGGAAATATAGATTACCTCCATCTTCTCCGAATCTGCGGACTCCTTCTCAGTGACGCCATCGTGCAGCTTCAGCGTGTTGGCCATGGTCTGGATCTTCACCTTCCTCGCATCGTCGATGGTGCACAGGCCGTCAAAGCCAGAGAGATCGGTCAGGCCCGACTCCCAGAACTCGAGCAATGCATAATCCATGGTATCGGGCTTGGATTTCGTCTTGACTCGAAACTTTGCGAAGTGTACAAGGCTGTCGAGTTCCTTGGTAACATCTTCAATGAATCCCTTGACGTCATCGATATCATTGGGATCCTTTACCTTATCAACCCATTCGCATAAGTTTTTATGTGCAAATGCAATATCGTCCTCCCGTGCTTTCTTATCGAGCACGACCATATCCTCCTTTTTTTCAACGCTCTGCTTGACATTCGTATCTTCTAAATGCTGCCGCATGGCATTCAGCATTGGATACAAGTTGGGTATGTTTAAGATTTCCTCCTTGTCTCTCTCAGTCAGCATTTGCATAGGTTTCCATATCTTCTGCTTTTTACGACCCATGATAGAATCAGTACCATCCAGCCCCAGCCGCGCGCTTATATAATCTCCGCGCCGTTCCCCACAAGGCAGGTTTCACCCCGCCGCGCCCCGGCGCTACATAAACGCGGGAGGACCACGGGAAGGCCAGAGGGAGGAATGAAGGAAGTCCACAACCAGGATACCAAGGACGACCCCAAGAAGGAACCCATGAACCTGCACGAGGCATGCGAGGAGGGAGAGAGGGACGCCTTCGTCTACCCACCGAGCAGGGACACCGCCAACGACCCAAGCATCCCACCGGGCGACTACACCGACGACGACGACCTGGACCTCGACACGACCTTCATCCTCGTCCGCGCCTCCCAGTCGCTCTGCCTCATCGTCACCTTCGCGTTCTACACCTCCCTGGTGCTCTCCAGGGCCGACGACGACGACAGAAAACAGAGCAACATCTTCTGCGTCCTGCAGACCATGGAGAGCATCACCGTCGACGCCGTCACCGTCCTCTTCATCCTCACGGGCTGCGCCGACTCCCACCACTACTGGAGTGAAGACGCCAAGCCCCTGCGCGTGCTCTACGACGTCAACGCGGAGGTCTACCCGCACCTCGCCCTGGTGAACCTCCTCCTCATCCCTTTCGGCATGATGGCGCAAGGCCTGTGGTCCAGCCCGATGACCTGGGCCATCAACCTCGGCTCGCTCCTCTACCTCTCGCCCTTCATGGAGACCCAGCAGCAGGCCCACTACAGGCTCTTCAACGAGTCGACCTCCATCCTCATGACCCTCCTCCTCTGCAGGACGGCCTTCCCGCTCGTCCGCCTCGCCATCGCCACCACCGTCAGGAACTTCCCCGAGAGGCACGAGTACGTCAACATGGCCAACATCTTCTTCCAGATCACCGTCTCGTGCGTCATGACCTCGGTCAACATGCGCGACAACCACTTCTACTACTCCTTCCGCTTCCTCCTCACCCGCTTCTCGGAGTACACCCTCGGCTGCGTCTGCTACATCTACATCAGCCGCAGGACCACCCGCGGGCGTCTTCCACTGGGGCAGGCATCCGCGCCATCCGCTACTGGGAGGCACGTCCTCTTCCTCCACTTCCTCGTGTGGGTCTCGCAGATCGACCAGACCCAGCCCACCGACGACGCCCTCTGCGCAAGGATCGCCCTCGGAGCCCCCTGCATGACCCACTTCGACCCCGGTCGTCTCCCGCGCCGTCCCCGCAGGTTTCATCCTCCTCTGCTCCCTCCACCAGGCCGCCGCCGCCGCAGACCTCCCAAGGTGGCTCTCCGAGCACCTCCCCATCGCCAGGCTCGGCCTCGTCTACCAGTACCCGGTCGCCGCCCTCCTCGCCGCACTCATGCGCCTCCTCCGCCTTGGACGCGTCGCCACCCTCTTCGCCGCACTGTCCTACCTTTTCGCATGGTTCATCACCTCCGCCGCAAACCGCCACCTCACCCCAAGGCTCGTCCCCGTCCTCGACCGCATCCTAGACGCGGTTCAGGAGAGGATAGGACGATGGTAGGACGCGGTAGGACACGGTACCCCACCCTCCACGTTGGGTGATATTCAGGGGTGGGGTGATTTATGGTACTAGATTGAGTAATTTTATAATTACTAATAGAGCCCAGGCCCCCAGGGAAGGCCCCCCCTTGGCCAGAATCTGAAAACCGTTAAACCGTTAAACCGTTAAACCGTTAAGAGTAGGACAATGGTAGGACACTTCTACTCTACTCTACTCTACTCTACTCTACTTCTACTACTATCTACTACTCTACTACTACTATACTACTACTACTACTACTACTACCTGTCCTACTTTTTTACTAATGCAAGAAATATATGCAAAATATAAATTTTAACGGTTTTCAACGGTTTAACGGTTTAACGGTTTTCAGATTCTGGCCAGGGGGGGGCCTTCCCTGGGGGCCTGGGCTTTATTAGTAATTATAAAATTACTCAATTTAGTACCACAGAGTACCCCACCCTTGAATGTCAGTCTCTGTAGGGGTACTGGCTAAATCAGACCTGTACCCACTGCATGCTGCCCATCACAGGGTGATCATCACTATATAAAACGGTGAGTGAGTGTGTGTGTGTGTGTGTGTGTGTGGAGAGAGAGAGAGATGGATTACGCGGAGTGCAAGAAGCACATGGGAATGATGCTCAGCGAGAATGACATCTATGAAAAGTTGGAAACTGCTCATGATCTGTACCAGAAAATGATGAAAGAAATGCAAGATGATCTAAAACAAATTTTGCAAGTGGATCTAGTAAAGATAAATCAAGTTTTAAATTCAATCATTGATAATCTGGACAATGACATTATGAACATTGAACAGTATGCGAATAATCTTGATGAGATCATTGATAAAATACTTAAATTCAGAAATGCGAATTTCGTTACAAATGGATCATTGAATCGAACCCTTAGTTATTTGACTAAATCCTTGTATGCTTATTACGAAGAATTGAACGAACGTGGAAAACTTTTTGATATCGTACAGAAACGAAAGAATGATATATTGAACGTAACTTCAATCAGCATAGAGAATCATATAGGTGCTTTGTTGTATATCCATTCATTGAATGACCCATATATGATAATGAAGTACAGATTGTCTCATCTCGATAAAATAATACGTGAAATGAAAGATATGGAAAAAGAGATCAACAAAAGATTCGGAATAAAATTTCATTACAGCAACTTTTTGGATAACATACAGCAGCATACTTCAGGATATCATTTTCATTTCATCATGATGTTCGCTCTTAAACAACCAGACAAGACCTAAAACGAAGCTTGATCCTTCAATTACAATATCGGGTCATTGGTTTGCGTGACTCCCAAGAAAGACCCCGAGGGGGAGTTGACAGACACCCGGTAGTTGAAGCTCTGCTGGATACCGTCGGTGCGTGTGTAGGTTGTGTTGTTCTTGATGAGCTCGATGGAGAGCGCGAGGGAGCGGATTCGCTTCTCCTTCTCCTCTTGCTCCATCACCATGCTGTGTGGGGAGTGAAGCCCGCCCCTAGATTTTTTTTTCCTGTTTTTTTTTATTTTTTTTTAAATAC